AAAACTTTAGGGAATGTAATTATCAAATAAATGAATAAATATTTTTATATATTATTCTTCCCTAATGAACTTTAGCCTCTTAACAGCAAGATTTCAGTGTGAATATGGATCCCCTCTCCCTTCGCCACCACCCCAGTGCTTAGCACAGGACTTCTGATAACAGAATCTCAAATGAATGATTTTACATGAGGCAACTGACATTCCTAAATAAGACTGATGGCACAAGAAATACAGTAATCATAAACCTGCTTATTTCTTGAAATTCTTACCAAGCAAGTTTTTAAAAAGCTAATATTTATCATTATTTTTAATCATATAGCTATGAAAAAAACCACAAATGTTCAACTATTAATTATCTAAGCTAATAAATATATATCACCATGAGGTATAATTAGAAAATTATGACACTATTATGTAAAAGAAATGAAAAATATGGAACTCAAAATCACATATATTCATTTAATCATTATGACACGAAATAAATTAGTAAATATATGTGTTTTATGACACATTCTAAAGAGCCATGCAGAAAATCTAACAATAATTTAATCTTAAAACAGCAAATTATTTTCTATAATTTTATTTAGTTATAACCCTGCTCACCTGGATTGTTAATTTTATCCATTTGTTAAAGACTCAACACATTTATCCTTAATTATTGGTCATATAGAACAAAATGGGAATAACATCATTTTACCTAGTCAAACTTTAGGTAAAATGTCCAAATAAAGCACTCCCTAGGAGAAAGGATTAGATGGGTATTCTTTATCTTCATCACACATTTCTTTATGGACCTTTTCTTGCTGTAATTGTTTGTTTTCAGTAAGCCTGTATTAATTTTATAACCAGAAAAATATGACAATAAAACAAGCACTTCCATATATCTACTAATAATTTTAAAATAAACTATTCAAAGGAATGAACTATAATGTAAACTATGCAAAGGAATAAACTATATTCCTTTATCATATTCACTTAACTAAAAACAGCTTAATTTAGCAAAAAATTAACATAAGTAGAAATGGACCACCAAGACTGCAGAGAGAGAAGAGTTACAAAGAAGGTCATGTGAGATGCCACATGTGAGACACAGAGCAGGGCCAGATCATAGCAGGTACTCAGAGATGTTAATTTAGCAGGCACATAGAAGAATCTGCTAGGTGCTATAGACACACTTGAACATAGCTCCCTTTACTAACCCTACCTTTATCATAACTCTCTTGTGAATTCCCTACCCTTTCCAAATTATCAACCTTGTCCTTGATGTGTTAGAGACAAAGAAAACAAAGACATTAAGTGACCAAAAGGACATAGAGCTGTCACCTCCTTAATAACAAAGGTGATTTCACTAGACTGGGTAAGTGGTTCCCCATTTTTTGTGCTCATCCCGCCAAAAGGTAATTGTTCTCTTTTATATTAATAGTTCTTGCCAAGTCCAGAGCTATTCTAAAGCAATTCCTAAATAGCTGCACTTTCCTGCCAGAATGTCCAAATAAACTCTCAAAGTCTAACTGTAAGAGGACACGGGATAGCCAAGTGAATTCAATGATATTAAAATGAGCTTTGAGAAGAATGCATGCTTCCAGTTTATATGATCAGCCAGGAATCACTTGCTCTCAAGCCTCCACCATTAGCACTGACGGCAACAAAGCAGATTTTCTCTTGCACCTTCAAGAAAGCAGTTAGGAAACATCCATGCCCTGTATCCAACATGTCCTATTTTACTTTTTTTAGAATCCCTTCACATTAGCAGGAAGTCATTTTCCTTGGTTACTTGGGTATCAATGTACTTTGACAATATTCACCCTGCTCACCTGGATTGTTAATTTTATCCATTTGTTTTTCATTTGTTAAAGACTCAACACATTTATTCCTTAATTACTGGTCATATAGAACAAAATGGGAATAACCTCATTTTACGTAGTAAAAGTTTAGTTTGAGACACCTGTTATGGATTTAGAATCAACTATCTCCCAATAAATTCATACATCTAAATACAACATGACAATGATTATTACACATACTTAGATGTAATTGATGCCTCTAGGTATAACATGAAACAATTATTGTACAATATTGTAATAACTGGAGTTGGATACAGAGCCATACCTCATATTTATAATCTGATTTCCTTCTGCCACTTTGATATTTAAGTTTTAATTTCTAACAAAGTGTGACCAGAACTTCACACATGTAAGTCCAAATGCAAATGTATATCCACCCTGTTTCATCCGTTACACTAAGAACAGGCCCTTTTGGGAATACTGATGAAAAAAGTATTTCCATTAGAATGATTAAATTAAACAGGGAATGAATGGCCTCTGGAACATTTCACTTCCCTGTATATCTGAGATATTCTGAAGTTAATAGTTAATGGTAGATTATTGCTGTTTAGGACTTAATCTTTCTGCTAAGAATCCTTGATCATTTAAGGACTCCAACTTCCTGATTTTGTTTTACCGGACTAATGTGCGAAATCTGTCAAAAAGGTTTTCACTCAGGAAAAAATTCAGCAAATAACTGGAGCTATAAGGATCTTTAGAAGTTATACAAAAGAGAAACAAGAATCCCTCCAAATTTATACATCTAAGATGTACTACACTTTTATTTTTGTAACATTTAGAAATGTAATACACTGAGGGAAAGAGTTAAAAACATCATACACTGATAGAAATCGCTGTGAAAAACAATTTGCAATATGGCACAGCAATGCTCATTTAACTGTTTCTGAGAAAGGAATGTTTGTATAAACTGAGTTCAATCAATGAGACTGAAAAAATATATTTATGTGAGAAGTACAGTCAAAACCCAAACATTTTAGTTGGAATTCTGTGGAATAGTTATGAACACTTTAAAAAAAATCCAAATTTAGAAAAATTGGCAGATCTGTTCATTTCAAGGAAAATATATTAAGTGCATTTGTCATGTGATTTTTATACCCTAATATACTTAGGTTTTATAATCATTTATAGAAAACTGCATGTTTTAATTTAAGACATTTTCTTATAAATTATCTCAATTGAATTTTTGGTTTTATTGTTTTGTTATTCATAACAAGTTGACTTTCATAACAATTCTGTAATGTAAGTGTAGACAGGTTCTACTATACAGGAGAGGTAAGGTTAATTCTATGGACTTAAACAGTTCAGTGGCAATAAGTCCTTATGTTGATAAATGTGCTTTATTAAAAAGAAATATTTTATATCATTCAAAATCTGAGGTTTATGAGAAATTCACTTGAGATATTAGAATTCACTTACGGTTGTTACCAGAATAAAAAATCAAGGAGAGAGAGAAAACGATCTTTTCATTCTACCCAGCTAAAAAAACAAAACCAAACCACGGATCTGTTCGTTAATCTCCAGCCTACTAACATGAAACTCCTAGGTCAGTTCACACATCTCTGCCTTTGCTGCCTTCTAACTCGTCTCACCGTGTCCAGTGTTGCTCCACTCTGACCCACGTATGGCCTTTCCAGAAGGCAAGTATGATGCTGTCGCTTCCCTGCTGAAAACTACTCAGTGGTTCCCGTTTCCCATGAAAGATAAAAGACTGAATTTATAAAGCACTCTTCAGCCTAATCTTTCAATTCAACACTACCTTCACTCCTCTTCCTCCAAAACAGAACCTCAGTCATCTGAACATGTTCTCTCTCCCTTCGAGGCTTTTGCGCATGTGTTTTCTCTGCCTCCAACTCAGGTTCTTGCATCCTTATTTGGCAACTCCTTATTCATCATTCAGGTCTCTGCATAAACACATCCTTCTTTCTAGATTGCGTTATATGCCCCTGCAATGTCTTTCTATGGTGAACCTTATACCACTTTATCATGATCTCTTTCTAAGGGACTGTTTCCTTCATTGACTGTAACTTCATGAGAAAGGGACTGGGTTTGTCTTGCACTGTGGTCTCTCCAGGGCCAGGCACAATGTCTGGCGATAGCAGGAGCTTAATTAACTCATGTTGAATAAAAATATCAGTATCAGTTAACCTTTCAAGATATACAATATTTCAGTTTAAAGTTCTTTTAAACTGATAAGCACTATATAACTATATATTACAGGGCCACAGACTGGTACTAGTCTTTGGCCTGTTAGAAACCCAGTCGCACAGCAGGAGGTGAGCGGCAGGTGAGCATTACTGCCCGAGCCCTACTTCCTGTCAGATCAGAGGCAGCATCAGGTTCTCACAACAGCGTGAATGCTATTGTGAACTGCCCATGGAAGGGACCTAAGTTCTGAGTGCTCCTTATAACAATTTAACTAAGGCCTGATGACCTGAGGTACAACAGTTTCATCCTGAAACTAACCCTGCCCTGACCCAGGTCCATAAAAAAAATTGTCTTCTATGAAACCTGTCCCTGGTGCCAAAAACGTCTGGGACCACGGCTAGAAAACATAATTTTGTTGATGTAATAATTTCATATATTCATTAATTCAGCCAGAGATAAGGTTAAAGATGTTATTTTAAAAATATACTTTCAGGAAAAATTAATGTTTACAATAGAGAAAAAAAACTTCTTTGAGGAAAAGTTAGCTGTAAATATATAAAATACAATCATCTGAAACACAAAATGAACTTAAAAAATGATGTTACTCTTTTGCTGATGGAATAGTGTGCTTCTTTGTTGATGGTTTTAGAATAGCTATAGAAGGCAGGGCCAGCAAGGATATAGGGAACAGGCCCCGAACTGATTTTCTGTTCATTCAAACCTCTGCTCCTTTCCTTCCTTTGCAAACTATTTACAAATGGAAAAGAGAGAGGAAAGAGGAGAAGTTAGGAGAATCATTAGAAAGCATCATCAAATGCTTCTGAGGAATTCAAATCCAAAACAACAAGCTGAAGATAAACAAAACTAAATGATAACTGAGAACTTCATCAAAACTCAGAAGGCATCAGAATGTGACACTGGTTCTTTAACATACTGTGTCAACACTGGACAGATCCAAAGTAAACGAGAATATAACTTGAAAATGAAGCAGTACCAAATAACACTAATTACCTGTTCATAATAGTGGATATTCCCCTCAGCCATATCTGTAAATGCTAACTTGATATCATTTTGCATATTTTGTTTCCATCTTTCCCAATCTGCTTTCAGGGCATTATTAGCGCATTCCACTTTATCTTCAAGTTTTCCAATCTCCTCTGGAAGCTGAATTAAGTCACAAAGAGAGAGAAATTGTTCTACGCATTCTTTCCATTACGTGAATTCATCAAATTTAAGTTGAACAAAATACCAAAACAGCGTAAGCATAACTCTTTTTTGTTTTTCATCACCAGTATTTACCATGCGTACTAATTAAAGTAGAGAGAACATTAGGTTCAGTCAGGGTTGCTGAGTACAGTTCTGTGGTTGGCCATCAATTAGCACTTGGCCTTGGCTAAGTCTCTCAAATCCTGGGCTTCAGTTTCACTATTTATAAAACGAACACAACTGAACAAAAAATTAACTCGAAAGTCTTTTGTATTAAGACTCTTGTTACAACCACCATTTCTGGTGATATTTATGTTAAAAGACAGGGCTTCATTCACTTCAGCTTTCCAGTTCTGGTCCTCATTTTTCAACTGTTTTTACCAGAAGGCTCAATTAACTGAGAGGCTGGTTATAATATCCATGCTCTGTGGTCCCACCCGGAGGCCCAGGAGATTAACTTGCAAACTTTACTCAGATAGCTAGTAACAGAGGTTAAGTTTATAGCTCAAGATGTCCAAATCCTAGATCCTGAGCCACTAGACAGGCTTAGTGTAATATTTACCTTCTTTCCTACCTTGTCAGTCTTTGAGCATGTATTCCATTGATTTATTCTTTTATATTTGGCATATTCCTATATAAGTATATATTTATATTATAGCTATTCATATATTCAGCATATATTTATTAAGTGTCTTGTCTATAGCAGGCATTCGTCTAAGACCTAGAGATTCAGCAGTGAAGAAAATACACAAAAATTCCTATTTTTCCCACAGCTTATACTCTACCAGGGAGAGAGAAACCACAAGCAAGATAAATAAAATACGAACTGTCAGCTGGTAATAAATGCTAAAGAGAAAAATGAAGCAGAAAGGTAGACAGGGAATGTTAGGATGCTGCAATTTTAGAGAAGGTGGCTAGGCAAAGCCTAATTAAGTGTGACTTGAATAAATATGTGAAGTAGATGTGGGAGTGAACCATGGATTCTCAGTGGAAATACATTCCCAGCAGAGGAAACACCAAAGGCAATGACCTGGAGGTGGAAGTATGCCTAGGTGATTTAAGAACAGAAAGACCAGCACGGTTGCAACAAAGAGAGAAAAAAAGGAAGAGAAAGTCCTGAGAAATGCGGTTAGAGAAGCAATGAGTGGCCAGGGGAGACTGAGCCATGTAGTCCATGGCAAAGTTCTTGGATTTTATGGAGATCCAAAGCCAGGGAGATCTGAGCAAAAATGACATTATCTCTTCTCAATTTTTAAAAGGAGTTTTATATGTTACCATCATTTCACGACAAAGTATTTGTAAGACGCCATCTTTTAAAAGAATTCCAAGATGCTAAAATGTCAAAATGTATGTCTTAGAACCAATAAAATGTGTTACTTCTGATGCTTGTTTGAATTAGCTCCTTTTTTGATATGAAATTTCACTTCTGTTCTTATTGTACAGCAGCCATGTGTGCTGTCATTTCTCAAATAACAGGTATTTGGTATTATATAAATCTTGCATAACCAATGTGAGATCTACTTCAGTTGAAAGGCTGACTTTCATGTTTGTGTCTGTGTTTTTTTCACTCTCTTGTTCTGTTTGTAGGGTCAAACTATCTCAGTAAGAATATGGGAATTTATAATCTGGGTAATTATTTTGCTGAACCTTAAAGAACATATCTAATGGAATGCTACTGAATAACTAATAATGACAGGCTGTGGGTACCTATCATACACACAAAGTTATTAACGCTAAAAGCTCAAACAAAGTAGTATGTTTCTACAATAGTAACTACATAGCTATAGTAACAGTAACAGCAATAATCACAACTATTTTTTGCATTCTGGAAATAGGCACCCACAGGTACAATAAATTGTTGAAAGGCGAAACTCAAAATAGCATCTAGGTAGGCTAGGAGACTTCAGGGACATTAGAGAGCCTCACTCCTCTGAAGTCTTGTCATTTGCACAGCCCGTGGGTGGCGGGGTGGAATTTATTAACACAATGTCTCCATCTAGGATCAAGGGGTACACTCACCAATTGTAAACATACCATTACTCTCCTCTGCTTAGGCTCTGCAGTTTAAGCTCCTATGGCATGGAATGGAATACTGACAGAGTGTTTTTACTGAAATTGGCTTTCAGGAAACATAGTATCTAAATCACACAGTCTATCTTCCTCTTCTTCCTAAAGGATTTACTACAAAGAGCTTTTCCATGTCAATCTGTAAATCCCCCTCATTAAAGCCTTTGAAATAGTTGTCCCCTTAGTTGGTGGCTCTGCTCTAACCAACAGGTACCGTGCTCCTAGAGAAAAACTTAAGACCTCACTCTCAGAACTTTGACCTCACAGGTCACCTAAGGAAAAAAGGAAGGATTGCAGCCTTATCAGTACAGTATTGGGATGAAGAGTACTGTAAGTCTCACTTCCGTCTTTTACCACTTACGTGGCATTGGGTAAGATTATCTGTTGAAGCCCTAGTTTCTTTATCTGTAAAATAAAGGTCAAAGGAAAAACATGCGTTTCATAGAGATTCATATAAAACTTGCACTGAAATAATGACCATTAATAGACTTACGTGGGGCCTGAAAATTTGCCTACTAAATGTTCTCACCACCACCATCACCAGTTGGTGAAACTGACATGACTTCCCTCTCTTCTTTTGGTATTTTAGACTCTGGCAATATGTCATTCTTCCACCAGTGTCTAAATCTTAAGTCAATTTCTAGTGCTATTTCCTCAAATCTATTTTCACCAGTGTAGAAAATGATACATATGCTTTAAATATGTAAGATCAATTCTTAGCTTTTTTGGTGATTGTATCAGAGTTTTTTTTTCTTTCTTTGATGAGTTCTTCATAATTTTAGTTAGAAAAAAGGAAGGTAAAAAAATTAGATATTTCCTCATAGTGAATTATCTTCCATAATTTCAATTCTAAGAAACACTAACATAATAAGCACAAAACACCTAATTCAAATTAAGAATGATCTGCACTATATCTTTCCTAACAATTTACAAAAGCATAATTAGATGTCCTTCTCCTTAATTGACTTGTATTTTACTAAGTTCTTTGGCACAAAGACAATGCATTCTGACTGTGCCATCCATCCAGGTTCTAACAGAACATATTACTCAACAAAAGTTAACCTGAGGGTGAGAACAGCCCACTGACAGGCTAAAGAAGTCCTTCTGGTGTTTTATTGTTCCCTCCAACACCACATGGCAAGTTTCAGTAACTCTAACCATAGGAAATTCAACTCATATACTGCAAAATGTCATGGAAAAGACTGGGCTAGATAGGATTTAAGGCTTGCAATAATTCTTCTTTTCACAAATACTGACAGCAGTTTAGTCCTCTGCTATTGGAAAAACTGAAGAAGCAAGCGAACCCTTGTTGCCAAAAAAATGTTGTAATGCTAAAATATGTAATGATAAAAGACTGTAAGAGAGTGAAAAAAAATGCTTTACATTTAATAGTCAGGCTAATGGGTAATTTCTAGCTTCAGTTATATTCACCTAGAAATTGGCCACATAAAGTCATTAATGCTAAAAGCTCAAACAAAATAGTATGTTTCTAAAATAGTAACTACATAGCTATAGTAACAGTAACAGCAATAATCACAACTATTTTTGTCATTGTAATGGGCCATTGTTTTAAGCTATATGCTTTCCATACATTATTTCACTTAATCTGCATAAGCAAGTTAGAAATTTGGTATTATCTTCCTATTAAAACCTGGGAAACTAGAAGAAAGAAAAGGCAGAGATTATATAGCCATTTGTGGCATATTAGGGATTCAAACCAATGTCTGTCAGTCAAGGCAAATGCTCTATTTATACTGATTGAATAGCATCAACCATTGATTGGACTAGCTTGCTGCGGCTTTCAAGGTTAAACTGATAGAGCTGTTATCTCCAGGCATTTGTAATCTATTAGGTACAGACACACACAAGTAAAGCAAAAACCAAAGGCTATAATAAAAAGTGGAGTGGGATTCATATCACAATGGAAGGAAAAACTTACAGTGGTATTTACAGATGCAAAATGGAGGATTAATTCTGATTGTGGGGTAGAGGACATTTGACTTTTAATTCACTAGGCAGTGACCAGGACAAGGAAACCCCTGTCTGAGGGTATGATATGAACACAACTACAGAAACAGTATGCTACAGAGTATGACAAAAGAATGGACAAGAGGCTCATCTGGAGTTGGCAAGAAGCAGCATGGGAAATGCAGCTGCAAATGCAGATTCGAAACTGACCACTAAAGGCTGGAAATTATACTGGGCATGAAAAGGATTTTGCAAGATATAATAATCCACTGAAGGTTTTGATCAAGGGAGAGCTGTACTGCAGAAGACTGAGTTAGAGATATGTAGAAATCATTAAGAGAGAATCAAAAGAAGAGGAGAAGAAAAGAAACCAGTTCATCTGAAATGGGACTAAGGAAACAACCATGAAAGGCAATAGGGAGGATTTGGTTGGTTCTCACTCATTCACCCAGCAGCTTCCATTCAGCATCCATCTAGTCTGTGTTAGGAATGAAAATGGAGGGGGAAGAAATGGACCTTGCCCTCACAGACTCATACCAATGGGGAGAAAGAAGGAAGTAATCAGGAAAAGAAAACGTGAAAGGCATTCATGCAAAGCAAACTGCAGACGTTAGTTCACAAAAACATGTTTGCCTTGGAGTTTATCAAGAACTACAGATGGTTCTTTAAGGTTGACACTTAGAGAAGAAGTAGATGAAGAGACAAAGAAAAGGACAGAGAGGCAGGCAGTGCCAGGTCCTAAAGGGATTTCTCCTGCAGGTTGTTTGGATTTTCATAGAAGACAAGCAGAGGCGCTGAAGGAGTTTAAGAGAGGACTAAAGAACAGTGGTAAAGATCAGATTTCTGATGCCACAGAAACTGAAGAGAAGCAAGTGAAATGCTGGGACACAGAATCAGGCAGGTCTAGCCCTGACTAGGTGGTG